GTTAAACAGGAAAATCCCATACAAACGGCGGAGGATAACTACGCTCACGGAAGCTCCGGAGAACCTGGTATAGTCAGCATATGTGTAAACGCGGAGGATATGGAGGACGCGCCAACGGTGCTCCAAATTCCGGGGTTAATTGTATGGATATCCTCCCGTGTTTAGGGACCCTAAACCCTAAACCCTAAATTTTACTGTCGGCGCGACCCCTAGCCCCATATCGAAATTTCTAGTGTGTGTCTGAAAAACGGCATCTAAAAATTGACGAAATCGCCAGCCATCCCGGCTGCCCGAGAATTTCATGCCACTATCCAAGCTTGAGTCACTTCGCCAATGATATGTACACATGTCCGTCATATGGTTGTACATGTGTATCGTCTTTGTGCTTGTATAATAGAACGTATACTTGACGTATAGACGTTGACTCGATCTCGTCACCTATTGGTTAATAGTTAATGTGTAACACCCAACTACACCCTAAATATAGGGTCTCCGGTTTGTCTATGACACAACTAGGGTATATGGTTGACTTCCTCGTATGCGAAAACCTAGTTGCTCAGAGTTTCATGGCTGTAGCTGTCATAGTCGCGAAGTTATATATAGCTTCAAAGTGTCCCGTCTTTATCAGATTAACGACATATGATTCGATTCGCCCTATTGAATAACGTATGCTCCCAAATTTTCATGTCCGTACCAGCTCTGCTCTCGAAGTTCAATTTTGCGTCGATCGCCCAAAACAGTTCATTTGGGCGGTTGGAGTGCCCAAACTACGAAAAGTGGACCCTCGACACCTAAAATAAAAGCGAAAAGTGGACCCGAAAACACTGGCGATAGATAGCTATCGCCCGGAACATATATAGGGTTAGGGTTAAGATGGTCTTTGATTAGGGTTTTGCCACTTCTGGCTAGGCTTGTTAGGCTCACGCACCGCTCGGCTAATCACTGCGCAAACCCCGTAAAGGTTTGGGTTACGGGGTGGGAACAGTCTTGAAATGGTCTGGATTCGTCGCTTCGCTTGGAATTATGCGCATGCCGGCGTTTACAATCCGTGCGCTACGCGCGCGGTGGTAAACATGGCCCGACTCTGTCTAGGATTCGTATTTGAGTACACACACTTTATGACAACGTACTGGATGCGTCGCTTCGCTCTGAATTGTGACTTTTGACCAAAAAAGCATGAATGCGAAAATAATCAGTTTACACGTATTTTTTCAATATCATGTTCTGGATTCATCACAACGCTCCGAATGTTTTATAAAAGTCATATGTAAAATAAAATATTCCAAATACATACGTTTTCAGCAGAAACTCTAGTTCTGAATTCGTCGCTTCGCTCCTAATAAAAATGTCAGAAAAAGCATGTATTTATCACCGAAGGTGATACGCCAGACAACTTTTCGTGTTAGAATTTGGAGCGAAGCGACGAATCCAGGACGGAAGTTGGAAGGGGACGCGGAGCGTCGCAGTATCACCGAAGGTGATAAGCCAGGCAACTTTTCGATTGCCGGTTTCGTCTTTTTGTTGCGAGTTTTAACTTTCTGCTGTCATTTGTTGATCTTCTGAGTGAATGCTCGCATCAATTCACACACAACCACATAATGAAAGCGAGTCTCGACGTCATTTTGACCAATGAGATGGGTGCGCCTCCACCGATTACACGTCGCGCCTTTACCGCATTTCATGGTAAAAGTGCTATTAAAGTGTGGGGTAGCCTCCACCGCCTCCACCGCATAACAGTGTAATGCGCGTATTCTAAGTACAGTCTCAAATTTGCTCTCTAGCACTCAATTCGAGTATCAACAAGCGTGTAAACGTGACAGTTTTAAAACTATTGAAGCGTTAAGTACGACTTATCCGGTTTAACCGATCCACGCACGGCACATCGACATTTCGGCGAATCACGGGACTCTATTCCAGATTTTTCGCCAATCCGAAACATCAACCAAAAAAGGCCCTCAACCGAAGTCCAAACCCGCGGCCCCGCCAGCAAAGGCGCAGGCATGAAGAGGATACCGCGGCAGATGCCGCTAGCTCGACGCAGAGCGACACGGGCGTTGCTACAGATAGCGAACTCGATATGGATGTTCCGCACTCGACGCAGCAGTCGCCGGTGGACCCCATGGCAACGATGAGGCAGATTTTTGAGTATATGAGCACTATCCAGCGCCAAAAGCAAGGGCAGATGACTCAAATGCTGCAGCAGCAGGTCCTGCTCCAACAACAAATGCTTTAAGCTCAGGTGGCTGTCCAGAAACCCCAAAAGAAGAAGGGCAATCCACCGAGTTTCAACGGCCAGGCCAGTGATGACTTCGAGCTGTGGCTGTTCAGTACAGAGTAGTATTACGCCAACTATGACGAGGAAATGCAGAGCGACTGGTCTGATTTTGTCAACACAATCTTTGCAAATCTTGATCCGTCAGCGGAAACGTGGTGCCGAAACTTCAAGTTCTCTAGGGTTCGAAAGCATGAACGGGATTGGCTGCTAAAACAGTTGGTTTGAAGTACCTTGTGTAAAGACGGGCTCTGGGATTTCGAAAAAAATCAAATATCGGTTCCCCTCCACCGCTTTGCCGCCAAGCCACTCATTCTTCGTTTCGACAGAGTTGAAGCCAAGCCACGGACTACTGTATGGATTTTAACGCGATCTGGCCACTTCTGCGGAAGGAGAAGTGGACGTGGAAGCATGATTCCAAGATTCAGCAGCAGTAAGTGTACTGGAGCATCTGAATGCGTCGTTGATGTTAGCTTGTAACATTCTTTTGTTGCTCTTTCAGCTGCAACTATGTGAAACCGGGATGTAGTGTCAAAAACGGAAAGCAAGGCGTGGACTACTTCACGGAGAAGACGAGCTATTTGAGTATGTCCACTCCGACAAAGAGCTGTGCTCTCAGTTGAACATCTCCAACGTTCTGGTACGCTCGGATGCGCATGCAAGTACGTATCGCGCGCGAACATCTTGTACAGTCCTGTTCTCTGATGATTGACGCCTATTCTAGTCCGAAGTACTATCGTAGACGGTGACAAACCACGTCGTAAGCGGGTGGCGCGTGACTTGATCGAGAAAACGAGCAACGCCCCTCAAAAGAAACGTGCAACGGAGCCTGCTGTATCGACGGCGGCATCTGCAACACCATCCGCCCCGCCTGCGAAGAAGCCAGCCAAGAAACCCGCCAAGAAACCCACGAAGAAGCAGCTTGCTGAAGCAGCCAAGACTCGTCGACGTGAGCTCGCTGCTTTCGGTAAAGTATGGGGTCATCGCAATGGGACCGGTACGTTGTGCATTGGATCTAAGAGGCCAGTTGCCAACTTCTAACTGCGTATATGACACTTGTGGTTGATGAGACACGGATGGAAAAGCTGTTGAGCCACCACATTCGCAGCATGGCGCCGATGGGCTTGCTCAGACTAGCCCGTCTATCCCGGAAGGTATATTATCGTGACGATATGCTGACATGTTTACCAAAACGTGATGCTGACTTGTAGTGTTTATCTGCTTGTAGCTAATGCTGACACTGTCAACACTCAACTCGAGAATGCTGGCACGGCGGGTGTACGACTGGATGATAATGCTGACGTTGACAACTCATCACTCGAGAATGCTGACACGGCTGGTGTAAGAGTTGGTTCTTATGTTGACATTGCCTCCGATGATCATGACGAAGTTTCGATGATTGGGTCTGAAGATGATGCGTACAACCCTGACGACGACGATGATCTTGGTGACGATGATAGTGCCAGTAACGAAGAGACGAAAGATGATGATGTGCTCCAAGTTTCAAGTCGAGGGAGCCGAACGGATCACGAACGCGGACCTGATAGTGACGACTCCCGTAAGCTTTTGCAGGACACCGGAAATAGTTCGACGCTTCGATTCGATTATGTTGATGCTCTGGACCCCAATATTGTTGGTGCCAACGGCACCACTTATTTGGACACGGATGGTGAAGGTGATGACGACTCGGTTGAAGCGGCAGGTGTTTCCGGCGAGGACAAAGATAGTGATGCGACTGATACTGAGAAAAATGAGACTGCCAGCTTTCGAAGAGAGACAAATCGTGTCATCAACCGGATGTCTGCTGCTCAACGTGAACGCTTGCACATGAGTATTGAAGGTAAGCTTGTGATCTTTGTTATGCTGACACGATCAACATCTAATCGTGTTTATATGCTGACAGCGTCATCTGAAGTCTTCAATGATGAACAGCTGGACCAAATGAAGCAAGACGGCTGGAATGTACTTCCAAAGAATGTCAAGGCAGATATCGTCGATGACCCAGTCATAGACAAGATGTACGATGGATATTGCGGCCCATCACGAGATGTTATGCCGGCATCGAAGTCTCCACTCAAGCTATTTTACTACTTTCTGCCAAAGACATTTTGGCGTCAAGTGGCTACGCAGACCAACCTTTACTGGAGGCAAACGCTAGACGCAAGACTTGAGAAGGTAGAGGAGATAGAGCGTACTGCTACGCATCGGACACAACGAACTAGGGCTACATTACTCAGGAACCTACAGAAATTTCAACAGGTTTCACCCCATGAAGTTGTGCAATGGGTTGGTTTGATGCTTGCTCACACACTGAGCCCCACCAAGAGCATGGAAATGCATTGGTGCTCGAAAGAAATTGGGGTTATACCTGGTGGCACCTTCACCAAAGTGATGCGTCGAGACCGCTTCCGTGAGATCTCGCGGTTTATTCACTTCACGGACAACAGAGACCCGGCAGCCGCAACAGACCAAGCTTGAATGGTCAGGTCAATTCTATCGGTGCTGGAGAAGACCTTCAAAGAGGCTTATGCTCTTGGCTCACGCGTTTCGATTGACGAAGGTGTTCTTCCTTCTCATAACCGCCGCAACCCGACAAGGACCTTCATGAAAGACAAACCACACAGGTGGGGTTCTAAGTGTGTCATGACTTGCTGCGCGGAGACGGGTTACTGCAAGAGGTGCGTATGCTGACATGTTCACCATAAATATTTGAGTTTATGCTGACATGGCACCCTGTGGGTTCATGTGTTTCCGTAGAGTTGAGATGGACATTGGTAGGTCTGGTGATATTGAAGGCTCGCAATCAATGGACACTAAGAATGGCCTCACTGCAGTCGTTCGAAACATTGCGTGCGTATTCCGGGGACTTCCATACGAAGGTCGGCGACTCGTAGTTGGAGACCGCTACTACTCTTCAATACCACTTGCTCAGCAGCTTCGCACGATGGGGTTCAATTACGTCGGCACCATGCAGACTGACCGCAAAGGCTGGTGTGACCAGCTGAACTACCCTCATAAAAAGCGTCGAGCAGGTACTCCACGAGGCACGTTCCAAATGGCAGTGGCAAAGTCCAACCCAGGACTTGTGTCCTTGATGTGGGCAGACAATACTATCGTGTATTTCCTGGCGTCACATGTAATCGCCGAGCCAACGACTGTGCGAAGACGCGAGAGAAGTGGGCCGCCTAGTAATGTACCTTGCCCAGGAGTCGTAGCTGAGTACCAACGCTACATGGGAGGGGTGGATCGTCATGATCAATTGCGACTTCAAGCGTATTCGATCCAAATGGCTATCAGGTATAAATGCTATGCTGACAGGGATGGCTTAAAGTTACTAACTTATGCTGTTTGGTATGACAGATTCAATAAATACTACAAGGGCCTCTTTTTAGGTTTGGTAGATATGGCGTTGGTGAATGCGTACATTCTGCACAGACATATCTGGGAGAAGACGAAGAAACGAAGGAACTCACACTTCGAGTTTCTTGCAGCACTACACAAAGCTCTGATTGAGGAGACAGAGGACAGCTTCACCCAGACAAGAACGTCTTCGGGAGGTCATGATGTAACTGAAAGGTCGAGGCCTGTGCAAGGCGAGCATACGCTAACTCAGACATCCGATGTTCGGATGAATGGTGGCGTCCAGCGTTTGAGACAGAGGCAATGCAAGGTGTGCTCGTACTACAAGCCTGAAGGGAAAAAACGTGGGGGCACGTCGACATTTTATTGCGAACCGTGTTCACAAGGAAAGCGCGGTTTGATCACCTTGTGCAATAAGGTGCGGGGGTATGAGAAGAACGAAGGTCTCACGTGCTCTCAAATTTGGCACTTGGCTTGGAAAAATGGTGAGTTTGCCCCCAAAGCAGCTCACATTCGAGACAGAGCATTAGCAGCAGAGTAATATATGTTGTACAGCATCTTAGGAGACGTAGATCAAACCATAAATACAGCGTCCGCTTCTGCGTATGCCTGGCCTAGACTGAACGTACTGGTAGCGATTGCATTGCGAGGGGGTGCTGGTAGCAATTGCACTGTTGGGGAAGGGGGGGGGGGGGGGCGGCGATTGAGCAGGTCTGAATGTGATGCCACGCGTTCTCCGAGTGTTAAAGGAATCTCTGGTCTTCTCACATTGATTTCATAAATATCGAAATTTTTCTGGGCTGCCGAATGCTAGTTGCGATTAGCTTAAAATTCCATGTGTGTGTTCGCATCCTTTTTGCGCGGATTATTACCGAGGTGCTTAGCTACAACCTGTACACAAAACATCCAAAATTGTACTTGTGGTAAGTATGGTATGCTTTACTTCATAGTAATTCTTATACCCTCCGGGAGGGTATAAGGGGTTTTGTTATCACGTCCATGTCACCCCTTCGCGTTCTAAGAGTTAAACAGCGAATTCGTGAGTGTTTTCGCGATTGTAAGTTTCAGCACAACGTTCTTTCTAAGTTTTACAGTTTGCGCTAGAGTGGATCCCAACAGACCTACACGACGAAGTTCTTCCACCTGCTTTCCCAACTTGACTGCAAGATGCCGGAGATCGTCAAACGGCGGTTCTACCAGCAATATGTCCAAGCAGACACCAGTGCCTTTGTGTCGCAAAACGTGCCGTCCACGCTCCAGAAGATGATCGAGTTAGCCCAACGATTTGAAGATGCGTGTGGTGCTGCTAGCGCCTCTAGCGCCTCTAGTCAGGCCACGAAGGTTAAAAGGGACCAGAGCAAACCCCAAACGCACGGTAAATCAACGGCATCAAAGAAGAACCAAGGTGGTCAGACGATTTCTCATTAGAGGGCAAACAACTGGCCAAAAGGTGATGACAAACCCACCCGTGACTTTTGTCACACACCCGGCCTCTCCGAGGCTAATTGTTTCAAGGAGAAAGCAGCCGCTAAAGGGGAAGAGCCAAAAAAAAACGAGTACGCTCGGTGGGTTGGCACCCCACGGGGCCACAACAGTCAGTTCGTGGTAGCCGTCCGCGTCCTGACAGCTCTCTCCTGGAACAGCTTTATTATCATGCTGATGATGCTGTACTATCGACAAAAAAGAAAGTTTAAGGCTATTTATCTCAAAGAGGTCAAATCGCTGACGCTGCTGTGTCAATTGTCATTGATAGTGGCGCTTCATTCAATGCGATCGACCCCCATATCGCCACAACTCTCGGCTTACAGATCCAAACCGTCTTCGAATCCCCTGAAGGTGAAATCGGGTAACGGGCAGCGCGTCCGTATTTTCCCGTCGGATTACTCGCATCTCAATTGCGATGAGTGGGTTTCCTGTGTACGAATCCGAAGTTTTCATTATGGACATTCCCGAAAAGAGAAACGTTCTTCTCGGCTCCCCTTGGCTGGAAGAAGTAAACCCCGACATCGACTTGTCGTCTAATGTTGTGCATCCCCGTGGTGCCTGAGATGGATTGACGTTGCATCCCTTCCCTCGAGTACAAGCTGATGTTTTTGTTGCTAGTGGTCGGCGAAAGTAGAATTCCTCGAGACACCGTGAAGATCAGCATGTAAAATTACTTTTACGCCAAGCACGACTTCATCTCAGAGGTGGGTAACACTAGAGTGATTTCACCCCGTCAATTTCGACAGATGCAACGTGAAGAATCATCTTTCTGCTTTGCAACGCACCGGTGGCACGCAAGCAATTTCGCCTGAGTGACGAGAAGAAGACCGCCGTCTGGACCGAGGAAATGCTGGCAGCAGGCATCTTCCGACCGTCGAAATCGCCATATTGCGCGCCACCTTCTGCGTCAAGAAGGCAGTAGGCTGGCACACTGTTGACGATTTCAGAGGAGTCAATTCAAAGCTTTCGTATACCAGCAACTCCAGTACCTCGTAAGGAGGACATCTACGACGCAATGACAGGTTGATACTATTTCTCGGCGATGGACCTTTTGTGGGTCTTCTTTCAAGTTCGTCTTCGTGACAAGGATCTACAGTACACCGCATTCTCGACGCTCAACGCTCCGTTGGAGTATTTGGTCACCCCTATGGGCCTCGCGTGTAGTCGTTCCGCTTTTAATCGGATGATTCACCGAATTTTTCAGTGATCAGATCTCCTTTTGCCGAGCTTACTTTGATGATTTGTTCGTCTACATAAGAGTCAGTCGCTGGACGAGCACTTAGATGCCCTCGACAAGGTCCTGAAGCGATGCAAGGAGCAGCAACTCTACGTTAAGCTGGCGAAGTGCACATTTTGTGCCAGTGATTTTCCGTGTATAGGTGATTACTTCGGTCGAGATGGCGTACGAATGGAATTGGACAAAACACGGGTCATTCGAGAGTGGTCCCAGTTTCGTACCAAACGACAATTGCAATCTTTCATTCTACGTTCTGAAGTACTGTGCGAATTTTGCAGAATTAGCAACGCCACTGATGGAAGCAGGTCGAGGTCTTGGGGAAAATGAGCGTATATATCACTCTCTCGTCAGCCGATTGAATCATTTGAAGAGCTGAGGCGACTTATCTCGCAGCCCCCGATGCTCGCTCACCCCGATAGTTCAGGGTTATTTCACGTGCGAATGGACGTTTCGGACTATGCTGTCGGTGGATACTTATACCAGCTCGATGACAATGGTAAAGAGCGTGTGATCGGATATGGTGGTCGAAAATTGAGTGCTGCAGAAAAAATGTATCCAACCCGCGAAAAAGAGCTTTTGACAGCACTTCATTCCATGCGACTATGGTGAGTATACCTGATAGGCAAGCCATTATACGTGAAAACCGACCATCGAACTCTGCAAAGCATCTTGGTGCAGAAGACCTGTTCACAGCGACTCACAAGATGGCTTAATGAGTTGGGCTCGTACAAGCCTCTTTTTCGTTGGCTTCCTGGTTTGTCAAATATCGTAGCAGATGCGGTATCGCGAAATCCTAACTTTCAGCCAGAGGTCTTCGCTGAACACGTATCGCTAGCGAGCCTCTTACAACAGCTGCCGAGTAAACAAGATGATTCCGATGCTGACGATGCCTTTGTTCGCTACATGGCTTCTCGACCGACAATTGTGCAACAGTGTGTTCGATTATATTCTCGCGATTTCTGTTTCGGACTGGCCTACAAGTTTCTCAAGGAGAGAACTGGCGGCTCTGCCGTATCGCCTCCAGTGGAACTGGCTCGCTCGTTGAAAGTGCTGGGATCGCCAGTTAAAAACTGACTCGTGCCGAGAGATCATCGCTGCAACCATTTCTCCGCCGTACTCCTCTTCCGGTTCATCAGACTAAAGTCGGTTTCGCTGATCGAATTTTGAAACGGCCCAAGGTGAACGATGCACCAAGCGCAAACGTCTTGCTTGGTGCAATCCTACCGACATCGAACATCGTCGAGCGTTTGTTTAGCACGGCCCGGATGGTATTACGATACGAGCGCAACCACCTATCGCTGCTTACACTCGAGATGATCTTGTTTCTCAAGGTCAATCATAAGTTCTGGAACGTTACTACCGTCGACGGTTGCATCTAGGTAGGATGTGGTGAACATGCACAATAATTGCACTGATAATGTATTAATGTTATGTTCAAACTTCAGTTATTTATTTCTACTAGCGAAGCTTTTCCTCACGCTATTTACTGGCGCATGTCAAAAAAAATAGGTATAAATGATATTTTCGGGTTCCCTGACCACCAGTGGCCACCCAGGGTATTTGTAAACACTTCTTGCAGTTTTGACTAAGTTCTACCGGTTATGGATGAATCGTTCAACTCGGCGCTACATTGTTTCGTGTGAAATGTGCCAGCGAATTAAAGCATCTCATCACAAACCCGCCGGTCTACTGCGTCCGCTCGAGATACCGTCGAATCGGTGGACTAACATTTCAATGGACTTCATTACGGGTCTGGTAGGGGACAGTCGAACTGGTTATGATGCGATCATGATAATCGTCGACCCTTTACCACCTCGGTACTACTGGTAGTCGCAAATTGGCTCCACGGTTTATTGGTCCTTATCCGGTTTTATAGTCTACAACTCCCGATACATACATGATTGGTATGCCTCCGGAACTTGAGAACTTCGTCTAGCTAAGTTTGAGTTTGAAAGGCAACGTAAAGTAGTAAAGTTCTAGTTGCCATATGAGCGAGCTTGCACGATCGAAGTCAAATCCTTAAGTTTACATTTGACAGTGTTGCGCCGGAAAATTGGAGATCGACGTGCTTCTTGCGGGTTGGTGTTCAATGTTGACCTTCTCGTCGTGATACCCATGACACTTTGCCCACAGAGAAGCGTTTACTTCAAGCGCGATCGCCGGGTCGGATGCGTACGAAGAAAACGCTCAGTAAGTCCACGAACTTGATCTATATTCGCTCCAGGTTCCAAGGACTCCTTGTTGTCACGTCCGTAGCATCGGATCTTGAAAATCACGGTGCCCTTCTTTACACGGCGATCGATAATTGCTTGTACTTGAAGGCGTCGTGTCCATCACGAGTGATAAGTCGAGAAACATCATTTAGCCGTCGAGGATTCGTATCGAAGATGTATGGTCTTAGATAAGACACGTGAATCTCGTCATAAACCCGCATTTCATTTTAAATCAGTCTCAAATTTGCTTTGTAGCACTCCATTCGAGTCTCAATAAGCGTGTAGGAGGAACCGAAATGCACAATGCCGTGGGCTCAGCTGAAACTCCTTGATCGAGGTGATGATTACTGAAGCGAGCGCTATGGGCGCTCCATCGGTTTGCGTGACAAGGCCCACTTGCTGCAGCGTATGCAGTGCATGGAACTTCTGCCAGTGATGCGAATTGCTTCGATAAAAATAAGCTCATGTATAATTTAATAGACTTTAGTTGTAATAGAAAGGCAGCCAGGACTGAGACCTGACTACAGCTAAGCCTTTGGTTATGCTAGAAGACCAGTTGGACTACATTCACTCTGCTACGTTATGCGAACTTTGCAGATGTACTGGGTTGGTTATGGTGCGAACCTAAGCCGAGGGTATTGGTAGGTGACAATCCGTGAAAGCTATTCCTGTATGTATAGATAAATGGAATTCGTCGTGCAAGTTGTACGAGAGATATTATATGCTATTTGGTAGTGGTAACTTGAATTGATATACAGAACAGTCATTGAGGTAAGATATGGTGGAAGCCGTAGGAGATAATGCGTCCTAAGACACGTCCTAAAGTGTGCTATTGTCCTAAAACCTGGGATAAAAAAAAACTAGCAATCGGCTTATAAACAAACCTATACTTAGGACACCACAACGAGTTTTAGGACGAAACAAGACAGGCTCCGCGTGTCCTAATAGGACACGCGACAACTAGACTTAGGCTGTCCTAATAGGACAGACAGGAACTCAGACCACTGTCCTATTTAAACAACACTACTAGTCTGTGGCGAAGTGGTTCTGGGAAAATTGCTGATCGCTGAGGTCCTCTTGCACACTGCGCCCGAACTGCCGACTAACGGAGGGGGTACCCCGATCTTTCGTGAAGTTGTAATGCTCACCTTGTGTACCCGTCGGTGGGCCGATTCGCTCTTCGGGTGATCTCGGAAGCGACGCTTGGGCTGGGTTCTTGGACTGTCTGGGTAGACTGCGGGACATTTGACAGCAGCGGGGATACTTCTACTCGCTGCGTCGATTACGGTTTTGGGTTGTCGATCTTAAGGTATAAGATCGAC